GTGGTGTTGTGGTGGCTGAGGTGGTCCATTATGAAGCAAAAAGGAGAGAAGGTGTCTCTCTTTTGGTTTCACTCTGTTACTAGAATCCTACAATAATGTTGTTCATAACACAATATGTTAAAATAATGAAACAGTTCTTTCAGCATTCACTCATAATCCTCTCTTGTGCTAGAACTTAGACATGCATCCTGAGTGATGGAAGCCATTTTGTAGGAGGGAGGATCAGACATTGTGAGGTCATTTTATGCCTAAGATAGGAAAGAAGAGAAAATAAAGGGGAAGCAGGGATGTCAGGGTAATTCTTGCTAATATTCACCAGACACCAAATCTGCTGGCACTTTGATCTTGGCCTGCCCAGCCTCCAGAATTATGAGAAATAAATTTCTGTTGTTTGGAAGCTACCTACTCTATAGTATTTCATTATGGCAGCCTGAATAAACTAAGACAATATTATGGTAAGTGCTATTTAAAAATGAACAGTGATAGGGAATGCTTAACGTTTGTTGGTTGAATGAATATATACTACTTAGAACTTTAAAAATTTCTTCTATGATAACAACATTAAAGTAACAGAGTTACTTTCACACAAGCTCATAAATATATGATATATAATATAGCTGAACTAATAGTTTATTCATTTAATATTATATTCATTTTTTCTATTATTCATTTAAAAGGCACTTTTGGTCCATATTCCTATTTTTGTGCCAATACCATATTGATTTAATTACTACAGCTTTGTAGTATAGTTTGATATCGGCATCATTTAATGCACTTCAGTTGTTTGTTGCCTAGAACTGCTTTTATTCGGGTCTTCTTTGGTTCCATACGAAGCGTAAATTATTTTTTATATCTTGAAGAATGCTGATGGATTTTAATAGGTATGCATTGAATCTGTAGATCAGTTTGGTAGTATAGACATTTTGATATGTTGAGTCTGCTGATCCATGAGCATGGTATGGATTTCCATCTGTTTACATCCTCTGCTATTTTTCCTCCAGTGTTCATAGTCTCCTGTAGAGGTCTTTTACTTCCTTAGTTAATATATTCCTAGGTACTTTAATTTCTTTGTTGCTATTGTGAAGGGAATTGGTCTTTGATTTGGTTTCTCTAGATTGTTGTTGGCATATATGAATGCCTCTGATTTCTGTGTATTGATTTTGTATCCTGAGATCTTACTAAATTCATGATCAGTTCAGGATTTCTTGGTTGAATCTTGGGGTTTCTAGATACAATATCATATCATCAGCAAACAGTGAAAGTTTGATCTCTTCTGCCCTATTTGGATACCTTTAATTCCATTTTCCTGTCTGATTGCTGTAGCCAAGACTTCCAGCACTATGTTGAATAGAAAGCCACCTGTAGAAGGCTAAAACAGGACCAACCTTTCACCTCTCACAAAATCAACTCATGCTGGATAACAGACTTAAACTAAGGTATGAAACTATTAGAATTCTAGAGAAAAGGTGGAAACACTCTCCTAGACATGGCCTAGGCAAAGAGTTTATGAGAAGTCCCCAAGGCAATCACAGCAGCAACAAATAAATAAATGGGACATGATCAAACTACAAAGCTTCTGCACAGCCAAAGAAATAGTCATGAAGGTAAACAGACAACCACAGAATGGAGAAAATTTTGCATCCTATGCCCATAAGGACTGATAACTAGATATATCTAGAACTTACGAAAATCAGGAGAAAAAAATCAATAACCCATTAAAGTGGGAAAGGACTTGAACAGAAACTTTTCTAAAGAAACAGAAGAATGGCCAACAAACATATGAAAAATGCTCAACATCTCTAATCATCAGGGAAATGCAAATCAAAACCAACATGAGATATCCTAACCCAGTGAGAATGGCTTTATCAAAAAGTCTCCAAACAATAAATGCTGCGCTTGCGGAGAGAGAGGAACACTCCTACACTGCTGGTGGGACTGCAAACTATTCAACCTCTTGGAAAGCATATGGAGATACCTTAAAGCGATACAAGTGAATCTACCATTTGATCCAGCAATCCCATTGCTGGCATCTACCAAAAGATCAATGACACTCTACAAAAAGACACCTGCACTCGAATGTTTATAGCAGCAATACATAATTGCAAGGCTGTGGAAACACCAAGTGCCCATCAATCCAAGATTGGATTCATAAAATGTGGTATATGTATACCATGAGTACTATTCACGTTCTAAGAAACAATGGATGACATAGACATCTTATATTTTCCTGGTTAGAGCTGGAACCCATACTATTAAGTGAAGTTCCCAAGAATGGAAAAACAAGCACCACATATACTACCCAGCAAATTGGTATTAACTGAACAGCACCTAAGTGGTCACATAGTACTACTAATAGGGTATTGGGCAGGTGGAGGGGAGGGGGGTATACTACATACATAATGAGTGAGATTGCACCATCTGGGGGATGGTCATGATGGACGCCTCAGCTTTGGGGGAGGGAGGGAAATGGGCATTATTGAAACCTTAAAATCTGTACCCCATAATATGCTCGAAATAAAAAAAATAAAATAAAAGGCACTTTTGGAGTAGACATTTGTATGTGAGTGTATGAAACATAACCCATGAATGCAAAAAGAAACAAATGGTTCTGCTCTGGAGAGTTATAGAATATGTAGGAGAGATAAGTAAATCAAGAATTATAATACAGGGTGATAAGTTTTACTACAAGTGTGGAGTGGAATGTTGTATGGCAGGGATTAGTATTATGTTAGGAAGAAAATGCCAAGAAGGGGAGCTTGGCTGATCTTAAGGAAAAAAGCAATAGAAGTCAGCTAGTCAGAGAGGAAGAGAGTGATAGGAAATGAGGATAGAGAGTTAGAGGCCCATCTACTAGCACAGGAGTTTGGTTATGAAGAGCCCTTTAAGGAAGGGAGTATGTTTATAAACCTTACAACCAAGATTCAAATTTAAAATGAATAAGATCTTGTAAAGACCTAGAAACCAATCCTAAAACAAGAATTTGTATACAGTTAATTTTGAAGGTGATCTCAAAAAACACAAAGTAGGGGAGTGGGAAGCAAGACAGAGAAGGGAAGAAAGTCACATCATTCATACTGAAAAGTAATATAAATAATATTTTGTATTATCCGCTAAACAAATTATCTTTTTTATAACTGCTTTCCTCCATCAGCACAGATAATTGGGAGGGTACTGTGTTTCCTGTATTTTGCCTTGAACACTGCCTCTTGATTTAATCACAGTAGGTTGGGCTTTGTAATTTATTTTGTTTTACATATTATAAGTTAGAGCCATGTGAGCTCACTTTACATTTAATGTAAATAACTCAACTTGTTACATTATTCAAATAGGACTGCAGAACTGGCAGCAGTTTTTTAAGGAAATATTTTTCTACATATTAAATGCACTTTATTCACATTATTTATAATTAGCATTTGAATTCTTCTAAATTGTAAAATTATTTGGAGAAATCTTTTTTCAAATGACTTTTTAATAACTTTTATGTTTGTAAGGGCAATGTAAATATATTTTCTCATTAAAATAAAGACTTGCTATTTCGGAGTATGGCATTTCAACAGACTGGGAAGCAACACTGTACTTTTAGCAACTTAAAATTACTCTGGATAAACCACAACTCCAGCTTTTAGGGTCTTTCTCTGTAAAATGAGGAAATTCAGATAGTTGACTTCTATGGTTTCTAATTTTCTTTCATTCTAATCATCTGGAGTCTGTCATGCCATGTTTCCCTGAAAATAAGACCTACCCATAAAATAAGCCCTAGCAGGATTTCTAAGCATTCATGCAATATAAGCCCTGCCCCCAAAATAAGACCTAGTGATGGGTGTGGCTATGCAGCATATCTGCACAATCCATGCATTTCATTGCTGAGTGATAAAGACGGAGCAGCCCTTCTCATCTGCCCCATGAGAGCTCTATCGCTTGACATGAGAGATTAGGGCCAATGGTTCTAAAGGAAATATTGTCGCAAGAAATTCAGAATGGAATTCGGGGTTTGGAGAGTTATGATGATGTTTCAGAAGAAGATGACTTTATTTTAATAAATGTAGATTGTTGTACAGTACTTAAAAAAAATAACACATCCCCTGAAAATAAGCCCTAGGGTGTCTTCTTGAGGAAAAATATAAGCCCCTGTCTTATTTTCAGGGAAACACAGTAATTGGAAACAACCTAGATTTTGGTTTCAGTAATACACGAGTTTAAATACTGCCCTGGCTAAAGTTCAGAGCGTTATTTAGCTTCTTCAAATCCAGACAATGGAGATATTAAAACATGTCTAACAGGGTTATTGTGCACATTAAATAAGGCTGGTTCATTTTTTTCCCCTTTCCTTATAAGTAGCCTTAAGCTAAGATTTGTTTAGTGATTTGTCTCATAGACATCTCTGGTAAGTAAGTGTAAGTATTTCATATATGTGACATTAACAATGCTGGGTTAGTTTTTTATTTTTGAAATTAAAACTAAAGAAAGCTGGAGAAATTTTATGAGAATCCTTATAAAATGAAAATGGATGCAACCTCTTCCCCACTCCCCAAAGTTAATTTGCGAAAAATACTGACGAACCATTCCACGCAAAGCTTTACGTGGTTGGGAGGAAGCAAGTCGTGCTCTTCACTTACCAGTTACACGGTGCAGAATAAAAGCAAGACAAAAAATGCGTAGTGTCCAGTTCTCGACTTGGGCAAGCATTTACATCTAACATTTAATCATTTCAAGTTTAAAAACAAAATCATTCCAGAAAATACCGCCAGATAACCTACCTAATTTGCATTCTTTTATTTTTTCAAGTTCACTGTAGCGAATAATGCTTTCATCTAGGAGAAGGACAGGTCAAAGATTCTCTCTGCCAGTTCTCGCCCTGGAAGACCGATACGACAAAGGCGTCCTAAACCCTCAAGGCCCTCCACACCTCCACCTCTCCTTGAGAGGCCCTTACGGGCCAGACCATCTGCCGACCCTTTTGTGCCTTGTGGTTCGTAGTTTCTCTCCTGCAGAACTCTTACCTGCAGACCTTGCTGCTGGAGGCTCTGCGTGATGTAGTCTAGACGCCGGTAAACGCTCTTTTTGGCCTCTGCCGCCGCCTCCTTAGTGCTGCTAACTCGCACTGTCACCTGCGCCCTGTTGGGGCCAGCAGACACCTCTGCGGTGCCGCTTACATGCACCTCACGGGTTGCAGTTTGGGTCTGTGCCGAGGACAGAGGGCGACGGAGACCAGGTAGTGTCTCTGCGCCCGAAACCAGATTGTTCTCCCGGCCCCGGTCAGCCCAGGGAACCAGTTCCACGAACACCCGTGACGGAGGGGCCTGTTGCAGAGACATAGCTATGGCAGCTGGGTTTCCATAGTAACTCCAGGCCGACGGTGGCCGAAGGGGCCAAGGCGCGCCAGGGCTTGTCTGTGAGCGGCGCAAAGGATGCTGGGATGAGTTCGGAGGCCCGGGAGCTTCTGAGGTAGCGAACTGCGCCTTGTATCCCGGGACATTTTGCCGCAACTCTTTTGCCACAAGCCGGCTCAGCGCGTTGTTAAAGTTTTTAACATGTTTACCTTATGATTCAGAAATCTTAGCGGGCTTTCTCTGTGGCCCCCTTCTCAGTGACTGCCGCCCTTCCACGCAAGGCGTCCATCCCACGCCTTCGGCACTCAGGTGAAAGTAGTTCGAGAGCGGGGAGGCGAAGCCGAGTGGGCTTGCTCCTTTGTGTTTCTGTGTCGCGGGCCTGTGCACCCAGCCTTGTCTTCTCAGACTTTACAGTCCCCGCTCAGGGCACGGCTTTTTGAGGCTCCCACAGCTTTATGGTTTAGTGCAGCTAAATGTTTGCGGTTTGCGACAGGTTTCCGTTAGGATGAACTTTTTGCCCATGTGATCTTGGGGAGTTTATGATTCCTCATACCTCAGTATCATCTTCTCTAAAGCGATGGTAATAGTATTTTTCACCTTTGCCATGTGGTTATAAGGCGCTCGTTGTATGTTGGAGTGCTTCGCGTATAAAAAGCAGAGAGGTAAAAAAAATGGATAGTTGTTCATAGTAATAGCTTTAGCGATTACTTTGGCGTGATTTTCAAGGGCCCCAATTTTTTCCATAATCTCTGGAATGGTTCTGGCCTTGAACACGGACGGGAGAGATTGAAGTGGTATCAAAGCACATTCAACGTGGACATTGCTGAGCCTGTACGATGTAGACCTTGAAAGAACCTTTATAACACAGCCCTCAACTTCCCCCCTCTTTTGAGTTCTCATCATACCACTAAGCAGTGATCTTTGTAAAAATAGCCCTGGTGCCTCATTCCCTATTACCACTGGAATGTTATCAAGAGAATTGAGGTGAAAAAAAGAATTTTGAATAACTAATTAAAAAGACAAGAACTATTCTCATGAAAGGAGTCTGGAAAAGTCAACTGGCAATCCTCAGGTAGTTTCTTGTATTGTTCTTGTCTTTTTCATTAGTATGACAATTCAACTAAGTCAGACGGTATGCCCCTCATTGCTTTCATTAGTATCATCACTGGGTTAACATAATATTGTATATATTTTGTTGGTTATTGGTAGCTAAAAGCATTTTTATACTACTTTAATTTAAAAACTAACTTTAAAAACGTTCCCCCATAATCTTTACAATTCAAGACACCCAAAATAATGTTTCTTAAACTTGGTAGAAAATTCTTTTTCCTTTGATGAATGTGGAAGAATATAGGTTCCAAAATGAATTATTGAATGAATAAATGTCACAAGCAAAAAGCAACAGGAATTTTAAGTGTATTTAAGTATTTAGGATATGATAAAAGATTTCAAATCAGTGGGAAGTGAAATAAATGGTACAGGGATAATTGGTAAGCTATATTACAAAAAATTTATGTCTTATACACTGAAAATCATATTCAAATGAGACCACAAAGAATTGGAAGAAAATATAGCTAAATATAAATATGATTCTAGGGATGGGAAAGCCTTTCTTAAGCATAATTTCAAATGCAGCAACCATAAAGGAAAAGTTTGATAAATTTGACTATACTAAAAAAAAAGTATGTAAAACAAAACAAAACCAAAAAAGATGGAGAGGGGCAAATAAATTGGGAAAATATTTTTTAACATTGTGTATTAAAGGGTAAAAGTCAATATTTAGAGAGCTGTTAACACAAAAAACAAACATCTTGAAAGAAAGAAAGAAAGGTAACACAGAGGCAAACTTTGTTATGTTTCTAGGGCTGCCATAACAAAATACTACAGACTTAGAAGCTTAAGCAACACAAATTTATTTTCTCACAGTTTTGGGGGCTAGAAATCCAAGATCAACGTGTCAGCCGCTTTGGTTTCTCCTGAGGTCTCTCGCCTTGGTTTACAGAGAGCTGCTTTCTTGTGTTCTCACATGACCTTGCCTTTGTGCAAACTGGTGCCTCTTCCTAAAGCCCCTCTCTTGTAACTTAATTTAACCTCAGTTACCTCTTTAAAGCCCTGTCTTCAAATATAGTCACATTAGGGTTAGCAGTCCAACATACGAATTTTGGGGGGACACAATTAAGTCCATAACATAGACCAATAAAGCACAAATACTAATAGCCTATAACATGGAAAAAAAAGTTTATCATCACTAGTAAAGTAATGCAAATTTAACTATAGTAGAATATCCGTTTTTTGAATTATCATTTTAGCAAGTAATAAAGTTAGTGAGAAAGAAGGAATGAATAAAACAGTAATTTTGAAAGAAAAATGAATTAGTTATTTGTGATAGAGCTATATAGCAAATAAAAAAGAAGAATAAACCTAAGCTGACTCATACGCAGTTTTCAGCCTGAATAACTGGGAGAATGAATGAGGATAATAGAGTATATTCAGCTCATAATGACCCAGTTCTCCCTCAGAGTTAAGGCTGAGCCCCTAGCAATCATTTTGAATAAGGTGACTATTCTGCCAAGTTAATTGAATCAAGAATAGGCACTTGATTCAAGCTGAGCCACTTAGAATTTTTGACATGAGAATCTATATTTACATCAAATATCAAAAATGTAGTCTCTTAGGTGGCTAGACCATGACATGCATTCATATGTATATATATGTAAAACCTTGAGAGATATAGATTGATCATTTTCCATTTTCCACATATCATTTCTACTGGAGAGGCAGAAAAAGTCAGTGTATAGAGCAGTGGGAAAGAGGAAATCATACATTCAGAGAAGAATAGAGATGAGATGGAGAAAGAGTCCAGATGCAATTCCCATTTCTGTTTTTAGAGTTTTCCTTAGGCCTGATCTCATTCCTACCCTGGAATTCTATCGAACAGTCCTGTATCATTATCATAAAACTCCCCTTCCATTTTTTTTACATAATAGCTTGAATAAGTTTCATGTTATTGTAAAACTATTCACCGATAAGGATAGACGAGAAGGAGAATTCAAAGCTGACTTGTGCACCTTCAGTCTTAAGAAATTTATATAGCTCCACACAAAGTGGATCTCTAGGTGCTCTGTTCAAAGCTTAACCCTTTGGGAAAATTTTCCCTCTCCACTGTCATTCAAGGACATCCTGAGTGATGTTATCATGCAGCTGCTTTCTATTTTTGACTGGCACTTGCATATCAAGCCAACTTATCTATAGCTTGTGCATAAAACCTCAAGCTTTTTCCTCCTCCTTCAGCTGATCAGAGTATCCCACATATAACCATTGGTGTAAACTGAGCAAGATGTTTTAGTGCAATCTTGGGGGCTGGCGCTGGGGTCTGGGCTCCCTGCTCATGAAGCTTGCTTATGCCCTCTGGACCTGCTCATGCTTGGTGTCCCAGAAGTACCATTATTATCTGCTGATGGATTTCTTTTGCTTATTTATTTATTTTTTTTAGCCAGGTGAAGGTGATGCAGGTAAGCAGGGGCCACGTGAGTCCACGGGACCCTCACTGCTAATCGCACAGTCCTGTGCCTCCTCTGCTGATGGATTTCTGATGGGCTGTCCGACTTTATGAGTTGGAGTGTCTGACATGACCCAGCTTATGATGGGCAATTCCAAACATCTAAAAAAACCCAAAACCAAGTGCAAGTGACAGAAGAGGATGGATAATATAGTCCAGATGCTAGAAAAAAAGTAAGCTACCCTGGAAGTATATAGTACACCTAGATGTATGTTCCTCAAGAATGATGGCAAAATAAGATATTTTTCAGACATGTGAAGACTGAAGGGAGTTTACCACCTATAGACTCTCACCAGAATATTACCAGAGTACATGCTCTGTAATATTAGTAAACTCCAAAGGAAGGTATGGCAAAGGAAAAATAATAATAATCACAGAAACTGATAAAATACGTCCAGATAGTTAATTTAATTACTTTTTGAAAATGCTTTCTTTTTTTTTTTTTTTTTTTTGGGTCTTACTTTGTTGCCTGTGCCAGAGTCCAGTGGCATTATCATATCTTACTGCAACCTCAAACTCCTGGGCTCGAGTGATCCTTCTGCCTCAGCCTCCCCGGTAGCTGGGACTACAGGCATGCGCCACCATGCCCGGCTAATTTTTTTTATATATATATCAGTTGGCCAATTAATTTCTTTCTATTTATAGTAGAGACGGGGGTCTCGCTCTTGCTCAGGCTGGTTTTGAACTCCTGATCTTGAGCAATCCGCCCGCCTCGGCCTCCCAAGAGCTAGGATTACAGGCGTGAGCCACAGCGCCCGGCCTGAAAATGCTTTCTTGTTCTTGTGTGAGTGGTTAAACAAAAAGTGAAACCAAAAACCCCTATACAATTACAGCAAAAGGGGAGGAAAGTTATACATTGCATTTGATTAAAGCTTAAGTTCCTTGACTTGTTCAAAAAGAGACCTTCTTCCTTGACTGAATCACTTTAGACTTTAATACTTTGTAATTAATTGCCTATGGAAAATATATTAGTAAGGGAAGAAATCAAAGGAGGCAGAAAAGAAGGCTCAAAGAGGCAAGAAGAAGATTAAAATAGTACAATTTTATGGAGCTTGTAAAATTGAAAAGAATAAGGTGATCAATAATGTCAAATGATATAGACAGGTAAACAATTTGAGAATGAAGACATGCCTATTGAACATATTTGACAGATTATTAGTGACCTTTGAAAGAAATGTTTTACTGGGAACTAGATGACAAAGGGTTAATAGATGAGTGTTTGGAGAAAAGAGGAGAAAGAGATAAATATTTGTTAATACTGTCTACAGAGTTTTTTTTTTTAATGAAAAAGTAATTGGATTCAGACTTTCCAGAAATGAAGTGAGATAATATCCTATCTTATCTCACGAATACCCCAGACAGTGGAAATAACTCTCCTTGCTTTTTCTTATTATTTCCAGGTTTGTTTCTTACTTTCTTATAGGTTGCAGATGTTTATCTTCAGTTACCTTAAATGGTACAGATAGAATAGGATGGTGGG